ATTTTATCGGGCATCGGATGCAACTCAGTTCTCTGCTTTAATTAATTTCTTCGAAGTTCTTTCACTTAACGAGCCGCGAAAAAAACGACTTCATTAAGGTAGTACAAGATGAGCACCGAATGCACGCGCGCGAATTCCAAAAGATTCACACCAGCGATCATATAAATATCTGAACACGTGGATTTTATCAAGATTTATGTCATCGTTGTGTTATAATAAACAGGGTGCGTCATATAATTGAAACACTGTTCGCTTTAAAATTAATTTAAAATTTAATTTTCTAAAATTTGTCGCGCGAAAGACGACGAGACTATAAATGTAAAAAGCAACCTTACGAAATCGAAGTTGCAATGTCTTTCGAGTCAATCGATTCAATATAAATTGAAAAATCAGAATAGTTGAAACGATCAGGAATTATCGAAGAATTGGACACGTACATTTTCACGTATTCTTTCCATTCAGACAGAAGGCTTTCGAATGGTAGCAATTGGTTTCCGGTTTCGTTTCTGTCAAATTGCCGGTCGTTTTTCGGCGCTTTTTTGTCGCAACATCATCAAAGAGACACAGCAGGCACAGGCCTGGAAAACGGAAACGACCTTAAATATTTTTAAGGCTCCGCTCTCCTCTTCCTCCGTGAAACAGTCCGTGCTACCTAATTGCGGATGTATCTGCCAGCGGCGTAAGCGAGAGGCAGATTCTCGAGGAAACTATCGAACGAAAATTCCATCGACGTTTTCCTAGAAAACGATGGAACTCGAGCAACAACGGAAAACCGCTTTGATCGACTGTGGATACCCTCTTCTCCCGGAATAAAGATATCTCCTCGCTTATATTACTCGTTTTCCTTACATTTCTCGGTTAATGATTGATGTTGCATCAACCACAAGGTCACCGTATGGCAGCCTCGTATAAATGAGTTTTTGCATTCGAGAGAATATACGCGTAGGTAATTACCGTACTGCGTGGGTGTTCACGCGTTTTTTTTATTAGAAACTAACGACTCTCTTCTTCAGCTGTTCTTCGTAGCTGGGATCGATTTGAATTTACGACGATATAAAAACATCGAGCTCGTTGAAATTTCGTGTCGTGTCGTTACTTTTGTGGCAGCGACTTAGAAGAGTAAAGAGTTATTTTTAAAATAAACGGTTCCACGTTCGGGAAAGAAATGAAAGAGAGAGAGCAGACTGGTTTACGCCACTGGTGGCGCGAAATGAACTGAAATTGTAACTGACGGTAGCAACGATCAAGTTAATGAGGATACCATTAAAAAAAAAAAAATAAGTAAGTAAGGGGAAGTACGACGATCGAAAGAAATTTGGGCTCCTTTCGTTACATTCGTAACGCAAGTTCTGGGTCGTGGGTATTCGAAAGGGAGCCCGCGCTCGCGCTGGCCAATTATCTCTGCCGCTTTCGCGCCGGCAGCGTGACAAACGTGTTTAATTCTCGTAATTTTAATGCTCGCGAGGTGATGATTTTTATATGTAAACAACGCGCAACAGTCGGAGAAATTTCCCGAAATTACGAGTTTCGTTTCATCTCTCGGCGAGTCGTTATCGCTAACGAGGCCACGTTTCGCGGATTTTTTTTTTTTGCAGTGAAAAATCATAGAGGCTGAGGTTGAGAAAGAGAATTTATTTCCTCCTCCGGCGGTGAAAACTCTTTGCACCTTTGGGATTTTGATAACGCTTGGTTCACGCATCGCTCGAACAATTTACAATTTTAGTCTCGAAGCTTACTTACATCGAGCAGACGTTATTAAGGGATTTTTATTTTTATTTGGATTTTGAAAACGCAGAGAAATAAATAAATCCTCTGGAGTCAACAATGAAAAATTTAAAGCCTTCTACCAAAAAAAAAAAAAAAAAAAAGAGAATGCCGATAAATTGTACATCTTAATCCCATCCCAGTGATCCACGATGTACGTAAAAAGCAAACGAAGCAAAGCAGTGTGTTCCTAAGGTACTCTTTTTTAAACAGCCATTTATCATCGTCGCCGGGCAAGCGCGAAAGAGAAAAGAAGAAAACGAAACTCGAAGAGTCTCCTTCGCTCTCGGACGACCAGCACGCGCGTCCCAACGTAATAAACAATTCGGTAAACACGTGGTGGAACGTGCGCAGCCATTAATTGCAGGTGCTCGGTTGCTATAAAAAGAAAAAAAAAAAAAAAAATCTCTGCATCTCGAACGTCGTAACTTGTTGTATCAATCTCCGATAATTGTAATTTCCCTCAAGCGAAAATCTACATAGAAATTAGTGGTGGATAGCACGCGAGGCTAAAGACGAAGAAATCTTCACGTCTGGCTGTCGTTGATAAGCAAATTTAATAAAGTTCACTGTTTACAGAAAATCGTCGCAATAAAACGATCGGCGCCGGGTGGCTTTTTTCCGCGTTTCCGGCGGACCGTATCTAATATACGCACGCTGCGAGCATGTCGCGTTCTTTTTTTTTTAAATTCTGGATTAACCCAGACGTGGTCAGTGTTGGCGGGTTATATTCCTGTTTCGTCGGCGAGACAGATAAAAAGAGAGAGAGAGAGAGAGAGAGACTCACGAAGGAGCGTTATGGCCGAGTATATATACGCCGGTTTGTCGTAATTACTCGCTGCAAAAACGGAATACAAGATGAAGGCGGCGATAAAAGCCGGCGTGTTTTTGCGATACTGGTCTCTCGACGATGGGGAGCGAGGCACCACGAACTGGCCCTGGCCCCGGCCAGGCCTTTCTTACTCTCCTGTCATCCATTAGTTTTGCTACGTCTATTAAAGTAACGCGACTCCGCCGTGGCCGAGGCTCCTCTTCTCCGTTGGCTCACGTGCATTAATGAGTAGGTTAGGTGCACCGTGGAACGGTGTCTAATCGGCCTGGGATCAAACCACAGCGAGAGGCCCGGCTCTCTGTCGTATCAAATTGAACGCTCTCGAGGGCTCGTGTCTTTCTCTCTCTTCATCCTACCGGGACCGGGTAGCTTCTTTCAGGAGCGAGGCTCTCTTTTGTCCTCGTGCTATCTTCCTTCTATCCGCCAGTCCTCTTTCTCCATTTCGTTGGCCAGACGAGCGGTATAATTGGAGGTTTCCGATCCGATTAGGACGCGAACGCTTGACGGACACGTTTCGCGACCGATTATGACGATATCTTTCTAGATGGTTGCTTGATTTACATGTATGTACACACCGGCTTTGGGAAAGTGGCCGAGCGCTCGCGGAGATTGTGCCTTGATTGTTGTTGCGCGAAACTTTTTTGTGCAACGTGATCATCCATCCATTCTGTGTACTGATAATTAGTACAGACTCGCGATTAGTACGTTTTGTACAGCGCGATCATTATTCACGTCGTGTACCAGTAATACAAATTTACCGGAAGCATTCGAACTGAATATACTAGATATATTGCGTGAAATATATAGTTGTAGTTTGTACAACGTGATTAGTAAAGATGTTGCAGTCTCCGCGTGAACAGTGGCGGATAGAAAACCTTATTTATACATTCGATAATAAGATCCAAGGGATCTTTCATATTTTTCGAAAGATTCCTTGGATCATTTGTATAATGTGTTTTAATGATTTTCTACTAATCGTGGAAATAGGAACGAAAGAATAAATCAGGAGAATATTAAAACGTTTTGTTAAATCACATCGATTCGTTATACGACTCCTTTGTATTAACTCGCCAAAACGAAATAATAATAAATTATTAAAATGAATCACGTCCTCCCGAGAAGGATTACATCTCCTAAAAGGTATCAAAACAAACTTCCACAAGTGTGCACAATTACGTTTGAACATTCGGCACGAATTCAACGTGTGTGTGAGAAATTTACCTTAATTACGAGATGAAATTACGAACATTTAATTTACGAATAATATCATTTACGACACGCGGCACGTCACGCACGATGAGAGACTCGGGCGACGAATCAAACACCCACACGTAGAGAAAACACGTGGGAGATATTTCGTTCATGAAGACGATTCCCGTTCGATGGGACAAGAAACGTTTTACCGGCTTTCTTTTCCGCGGCTCGGGTGCCTGGACATCGTCACATTAAAACGTTAGATGTCCACGTTAATTACACGTCGAGGCGTCCCGGATATTAACATACTGACGTGTATATCGCGAGACGACGCGGGAAGCGGAAACTCGCTGCGGTTACATAATTATTGAGCGTGCGGCGGGATTATTTACCACCCTCGGAGAGAAAGCTCCGGAGGAGGAAGCACGGTGATTCTAATTAACGTGTTATTGATGCCTCTGAGCGGAAAAAAAAGAACGAAAAGAAGATGTTCTATCACGGAGACACGCAGTGCCGACTTACTAATGGCGAGGCATACGTTTTTTTCCTTCAACGCGAGAGTATACGTTTGAAAATTTTATCTCGTACTATCGAGTTATTGCATTTTGTACTTTCGATACACCGAGGATCGAGCGAAATGTTAATTTTATTTATTGAGGTTTTTTTTTTAATTCAATTAATAAAAAATTGTAAATATCTTTATATCTATACTTGTATAATTATATAAGTATTTTTATATTTATACTTGTACAACTATTGTATAAATATTTTAAATTAATTCAGATTGGAGGTATATGTACGCACTTTGACTTTGTTGCAACATTAAGCACAGTTTGAACAGTTGTTTGAACTTCTAACATTTAAAATTTCGTTTCGTCTTGGTTTTATACGGTAGTTTAACTTTGTTGCAATAGTATTACAGGTACATTGTATAATTGTAGGGTATGATCACATTGAAATTATGACAGTTAAACCGTTTCTACTCGGGTTTAACTTTGTACGATAGCATTTGAACTTCGCTGCAATGATGCAGTTTTGTGTTTGTTGTGATTGATTAAAAGGAGAATCGCAGATACACTAGAAGGAGAAAAAATATAAGGATGAAAAGTGAAGAAAGTAAAGAAAACTTTCGTTGGTACAAAAACATCCAAGATTTATTATGCTTTTATCTAATTAGACTATCCCATATTATGAAGACTATATTATATCATTATGATACGTTTTGATCTGTCAGTCTGTCTAGCAAGACACGTAAAGTGGTACAGAAAGAGAGAGCATTCGACAGATACTGAAACGTTATCGATTTGTTATGCATTTGCCATTGATCAACTCGTTGATCACGATCGAGGGATTTGTAACAATAAGAACAGTTTCGATGATTCAATTAAAAACGAAAGAAAAACACAAACTGGTTTAGATACCAGTTTAGAAGTGGAAAATATTAGTTTCAGAAAAATTCCAAAATAATCTTGGAGAAATATCGAAATATTTTAGAACATGCCGGCTGAAAACTGGAATGTTCGAGATTCCATAATTAATTACAAATGTCGTGACATGGAACGGACCCAGGATTTACTAACATTTATTATATTTGGAAAAATTGTTCGATTGCATCGGAGTTAATATTCAAATTATTGGAAAATGGTCCTCATTGCAGCAAATCGTTCGACGTTAGTCTTACCGGTAGTCTTACCGTGCAGTAATAGTGCAGAGAGAGTTCCTTTATTATACATTTGATAGAAAGAGTCACTGGTTTCTGATACATCATCACGTACAGTAGGTTCTTCTGCATTCCCAGCGTTTGTTCGTACCACTTTAAATCGTACGCGCTTCTCGAGAGGCTCAAACTCTGCGAATTATGGAACGTTATAATTAGTCTTACGGAGATGTCATTTCGTTTCTTATGTACGTGTTCTACCATGTCTTTCATGTTATCAGCCGGCCATGCATACATATAGAGATACATGAGGAAATACATGTTGAGCAGCAGGAACATCAATTTCACGTTTACCGGTGTATTCTGTTTATAAAATTATTGCACACGATCAGTTCGTTGAACGTGTTATCGGTCTCCTCTTAAATGTTCTACTTACCATGGCCATTATGACGGCGCACAGTGTCATGAGGAATGAGCATAACGCTATAACAAAAAGTACCATGAAACGGAAGCAAGTAATCACATCTTCCGCGTATCTGGAGGAAAATACAAGTTGCACGTGCAGTGAATGTAAACGTATCGTTAGGTCCACTGTTTCGCGAATGTTTGCCAGTATTTCGGAAGCTGGAAGCAACACATTGAACAAACCGCTCGAGAACATGTTTCAAGATTATAAAATTTGTATCAATTCTTGAAGTCTACGAAACGATTTACATCATTTAACAAAGTAGAATGTGTTTCGAACTTTTCGCTGATTTCAAATTGTAGAGAGAGAGATGTTGTTTAAAATATTAGAAACTGACAACGTATTTCATGATTACCGAACGTAATTTGTAACTTACTCCATGTTGCTGTACGATGTTGCGTTTCGCGAACACCGGACCTTGATCTACGCAGGAAAGTATAGGAAACCCGTGTCTTTACCTCTTTAACCGTAACTGTTTCTCAACGCATGCGATCAACGTACGAACATTCGTGTTGTTCTGCAGCTCCACGGCCAGACACTCGAACCTCGCTGCGGCGAACCAAATCAGAAGCCCTCCGAAAACGCATAAGCACAAATGAGAGCAGCACTGGTAGCCGGTGAGAATTTGATGCGCCCGTATCATGACACGCATTATTGTGCGATTAGTGTCGAACGGATATTCCGCGTGTATTACGTTGCCAACTTGGAACACTATTGGTCCGCACAAATAGAAAAACGCCCCTGCGTAAGCGACGATTATGTAACTGGCGTAAATGAAGTTGCATTTCGCTAGATACACGTCGAAGATCTCTCTCTCGTGTTCTTGGATCTCTTTGGCGCAGGTGCACATCTCCTCGACTATACGCTGTTAACCCGTTGTTAAAATAATTTTTTAAACTTTTCACGATAACATTGAGTTAGGATACATCGCTCATGTAGATATTTGTTGTTGATTAGGTGTACGAATTGATTCGCGATTAACTTTTAACTGTCTGGTTCATGGTTTGCGAGGCGGTGGAATTGATAAAAGTTGTCATGAATAATATTATCCAAATGATACTATAAGGATAATATAAGGATGAATTATATTGTCCTAATTATATTATAAGGTGTTACAAGGATAAATTATATTTCCTAATTATACTATAGGATAATATAAGAATAAATTATATTATCCTTATATTATCCTAATAGGATAACGTAATTTATAACGAAATTTATAATAGAATTAGGATAAATTATATTACCAATGTAATTTATTCTTATATTTCCTTATATCCTAATTCTTCTAAATTTTGGTTATAGAGTAAATCATTAATATTACGTTATTGAAAATATCGAGTGATCATGAGGTTGATACGTGAGAAAACGCGCGACAACAGAAATGAAAATTAGAAATGGGAACTTACTTGCAAAATATCGTGCTTGCTGGAACAAAGAACGGCCTGTATGATACTTTGACTCATCAACACCGTCAGGGCGAGACACACGGTAATAATTTCGATATCTTCCGATTTCAAGTACATCGCGTACAGCAACGACAGAAGCAATAGGCTGACGTTGATTATTGAATACATTTGTAAAACTTTGTAGACGAACAGTTTCGTTTTGCTGCTGTGCGATGAAAGTGGCCAGCAGAACGTCAAAGCTACGCTTAGCCGAACGACGTCGATGGCTTTTTCCAGTGTCACTTGTCTCAACATGATCTTAAACTGTTTCGAGTTCCAACTCGGACAAAACGGAATCTAACTCACGTAGATAAGCAGAGCAATATACGGAGTATTAATTTCTTCTACATTCTTTCAACGTCTTTATTCTCATCTTTAATTTCCTACGTTCTTACATTCTTCCGCGTAATTACGAAGGCTGATAATGTGGAAGTTATCGTGCACGCGAAAAATTTAATAAATCATCAGCTTCGAAGTAACAGAACATATCGACGAGCGATTATTTCCGCCGTGGTATTTGCTCTGCCAATTAACTGAATAGCTGATAATTATCGTTGGCTGCATTATGCATTATTGGAGCGTATGATGTTAGACAGGTGTAAAGGGAAGTTGCGTGTGAATCGATGGCAATCAATATTCCTGTAGCAGCAGTGCAACTTTGAAAATGCAACAGTGTATCAAGCGTATTCAGTCTTTCGCGGGATGCGAAGTGCTACGCTTGGATAAGAAAGACGACTAAAGTGCACGTTCACAAAATATCTGTCTGTGTTACTTTCAATTATGGGTCTTCGGTTGGCACGATATAACCTTGCGAACAATAGACATTACAATCTGTCAACAGCTGTGCAGAAGAAACACGAGAAAACAGTAATTATGATTGTGCAGCAGTTGTCCAGCAGTGGGATATTTGCCACGTGTATGCGGTAAGCAATATTTCATTCCCGAAATCATTATATTTTCTATTGCTTTCTGCATATACAAGTGAAACATGCACAGTTTTTTAGTTTTCAATTTTTGAAATGTTTTGGGCTAGTATGTTGCAGTTCTGTTCAATTTAAATCGTGATGCAAGAGGTTAGAACCGCTTGTGCGATCGAATTTTTTTTAAGATTGGTAATGATTATCACGAAGCTTAAAAGGGTCCAGTCATTCCTCAATTCTCAGTCGCGATGAAATGAAAGGAAAAATCGTGCCGAAAGGAAAAGAGAAAGAAAGAAACAGAAGAAAATGTGAAGGAAAAGTGAAGGGAAAGTAGATTTACGTTAATACAAGGAAGGTTCAGCTTTTATTCTGACTTTATGTTCTTAATATTATGATAATTTCTAAACGTATGTATTTAGTCTGTCATCTCTTCCAATATGGCACGTAGAGCGGTACAAAAAGAGAGAGCATTGGACAGATACTGAAACGTTATCAATGCATTATCTTTGCATTACCATTGATCAACTCGTTGATCGCGATCGAAGGATTTGTAACAATAAGGACAGCTTCTATGATTCAATTAAAAAAGAAAGAAAACTACAAAAGTTTAGACACAAGTTTAGAAGACATTGGTCCCGGAAAATTTCGAAACAATGTTGGAAAAATATCGAATTTAGCAAACTGGAATGTTCGAGATTCCACGATTAGAACAGGCCTAGGATTTACCAACTTTCACTATGTTTGAAAAAAAAATTGTTCGATTTCGATTGCATCGGAGTTAATATTCAGATTATTGGATAATGGTCCACATTGCAGCAAATCTTTCGACGTCCGATGGTCTTACCGTGCAGTAATAGTTTAAAGAGAGTTCTGGCATTATACATTTGATAGAAAGTGTTACTGGTTTCTGATACGTCATCACGTTCAGTAGGCTCTTCTGCATTCCCAGTGTTTGTTCGTACCACGTTAAATCGTACACAATCGTCGGAAGGCTTAAACTCTGCGAATTATGAAATGTTATTTTAATTATTTAGTCTTACGAAGATGGTACTTGGTTTATTACATCTTTATAGAAACGATCTACCATGTCTTTTACGTTGTCAGCTGGCCATGCGTACATGAGAAGGTACATGAGATAATACACACTGTTGACTATGTACATCATTTTCAGCATAACTGATATATTCTATTTGTAAATTAGTCATTAATTCTATTTAAAATGATAAATCACCGACATATTCTTTCTAAAGCTTAGCGAATGATCAGTTTGTTAGTCTCCTTCTAAATGTATTACTTACCATGACGACCATGACGGCACATAGAGTCATGAGAAACGTGGATATTATTATAACAAAGAGCACCATGTAACGAAAACAAGCAAACACATCTTCCGTGTATCTATGGCAAAATACAATCGCTTGTAATGTGCGAACGTGAATGTATTACTGTGTCACTGATTTTCGCCAATGTTTAATAAGGAAATAAAGAAGTTGGAATATAAATTTTCAAACTGTATAAATTTTGAAACTCTACGAAAAACAATTTACTTTATTTAGAAAGTGAAGCCTTTAACCGCGTCTAGCCATATTGGCGTTTCTTAAAAGCACCATTGATCCACGCGTGCAGGAATACAGATAGCATTATCTTTACCTCTTCAGACGCAACTGTTTCCGAATGCACCTGGTCAACGTACGAATATTCGTGTTCATCTGTATTTCCACGGCCAGACACTCGTATCTTGCGGCCATGAACCAAATTAAAAGCCCCCCGAACACGCACATACACAAGTGCGAGCAGCATTGATAGCACGCGACGATTTGGTGCGCGCGTACCATAACACTTATTGACGTGCGATTAGTGTCGAACGGATATTCCGCGTGTATTATGTTGACCATTGGAAACATTGTAGGCCCCAGCAAATAAATGGACGCCATCACGTATGCGCCGATTATGTAATTGGCGTAAATGACATTGCATCTCGCTAGGTACGTGTTGAAAATCTCCCTT